AGTGACCCAGTTCCTCCTCTCTGCCCTTTCAGGGAGGCCGGGTTGAGTTACCCGTGTCCTTTTGGCAAGGGTCAGCCTGGCGCTGCCGTGGGGATGGCCAGCCCCGGGAGCCTGCCTCTGCCGCCGCCGCCTCCTCCTCCTCCCCCCTCCCTCCCTGCAAAGCCCACGGCATCCCCCTGGGGCGCAGGCGCCTGAGCAGGGCTCTTCAAACTCACCGCTTTAAAAATACGGGCTCTATTTTTGTACAGAGCCATTCCCCTCTTTCCTGTGGGAGGTGGCATGTGGTGTCACTCTCCCAGGGGAAAGCAGGTCTGGCAGCCCCTGCCCCAGCGGTGCTGTGGGTCCGGCCCCGGTGAGGGACGTGCCAGGGCCACCAAGAGCCAAAGCACCTTCACCCCGTTTTCCGCAAGCGCCGGGGCTGCGCTCCAGCCCGACGGCAGCTGCTGCCAGCCTGTGCCTTCACCCCAGGAGGCTGCCGCGTGGGGCTTGTCCGCGCTTGTAAAACCAGCCGGGGGTTACCTAGGATGGAGTGTGACCTCGTAAAAACCCGGCGGTTTCGAGCAGGGGGCAGGGAGACCCCCGCCGTGGCTGCCTTGGGACCAGGGGGCAACAGGGGAGCTGCTGGTTTAGGGTAAAGGTGGGGGGGGTGGGGTGTTGCTGAGTTTGTGTTTGTCACCCCATGGCGGGATCAGAGCTCTTAGGTAGGGGGTGTGTGTGAAAAAAGTGTGTTAAACTGTGAGGAAACCCAGCTGCAGTTTCACTTTGAGTTCTGGCCTGGTTGACTCAGCAGGATGCTGCGGCCCCAAAATAACTCTTGCCCAAGAAAGTTTCCTCTCCCTTTGCCCTGAGCTGGCGGGGGCCAAGCCCCTGCCCGTCGGCTGTGCCTGGTGGTGGCCATGGAAGCAATGTCCCTGTCACCGTTCCCAGCAGGCTCTTGCCAGGGCTACAGCAGCAGTGGGAGAATCCCCCAGTGCGGAGCTGCGCTGGGGAGGCTCAATGGGAACGTTTTCTTTCTCCAGGGTTTATGTTTCCTGAGCAAACCCCGCTCCAGGGATATCTGAGCGACGTGGGGGCAGCGGTGGCTGGGCAAAAAGACCATCAGCAAAAGTGCTGTGAAACCCTCTGACTGAAAAGATTCGCTTTTGCTGATGTTTCTCATAAGGGCAAGAGACTCGGGTGGGTTCCCCGGCTGCAGCCACAGCCCTTCTCGGTGAGCCGACAGCTGCGGCGTGGCCCCACGTCTGGCTCGGTCCCGAGGAGGAGGAGGCAGTGGTGGCTTTTTGTTTTATTTCTTTATCACTTCCCTTCAGCTCTCATTATGGAGCAGAAGCTCTACCTTTTATCGCCGCCTTAGTATGAATCATAGAACGGTTAGAGTTGGAAGGGACCTTAAAGATCATCTCATTCCACCCCCCTGCCCTGGGCAGGGACACCTCCCACCAGCCCAGGTTGCTCCAAGCCCCGTCCAACCTGGCCTTGAACACCTCCAGGGATGGGGCAGCCACAGCTTCTCTGGGCAACCTGTGCCAGGGGCTCACCACCCTCACAGGAAAGATTATTTTTTTCCTAATATCTGATCTAAATCTCCCCTCTTTCAGTTTAAAACTATTACCCCTTGCCCTATCGCCCCACTCCTGATAAAGCGTCCCTCCCCAGCTTTCCAGTATAGCTGTGCACAGCACCAGCCTCTGCCGGGAAGGGACATGGCGGGGACTGTGTGAGATGGGGCAGGTGCCTCTGCACAGCCCTTGTGTGAGCGTGGGACGAGCGCAGGGGCAGAGGGCAGCTCGCCCTGCGGCAGGCGCTTACTCGCAGTGCAGGGCATGGTGGCACTCACCCGTCTCGACGTTGAAGGCGAGTTTGTCCACCCCCTCCTTGTAGCTTCTGCCCGAGAAGTGCAGGGTGATGGTGAAGGGCTGTCCCCGCCGCACCACCAGCTGCTGGCAGCCCATGTCCGCCGTCCGGTGCTCCCGGCCGTTGCGCTCGCACTGCAGGTCCCATGTCTCCAGCACCAAATCTGCAAAGGCAGAGGCATCTCCAGCTCTCCCCCTCTGCCACATGCTCCCGGCGCCGGGGCACAGCCGTGCCCTGCACACGCAGCCCCTGTCTTCAGCCAGAAGGGACTGCGTTACCCCCACACTGAGCCCTGGGGTTTTGGACTTTGGTACCGCGGTTTGGCAGACTCCTCTGTCCAAGCTGCCCTGTCCTCCCCCGGTGTGCCCGGCACAGCCCCGGGTGCTGCGGCTGCGCCGGGCTCTGAGCATCCCTCCTGGAGGGCTCTGCAGGCTGGGCTCACATCATGGGCTACAAGCTCGCAGGGGCGGGGGGCCCCGCTGGCAGCTGAGCTCGCAGTGAAGCGCTGCCCTCCCGACTGAGCTCCATGCCATATTTCTTGTGCCGTGGTGCTGCACTCCACGGTACCTCCATGGAGGAGGGGCACCTGCCAGAGCCATGCCAGGTCCGCAGCTCACGGTGTCCAGCACTGGAGCAAAGCCCAGCGCTCATCTCCGCTTTCTGGGAGATGTGGGGCCCATCGGTCGGGGTTTGCTGTCTGTGTGCCCCCACCCCAAACGAGCGCTGCTGAGCCTGAAGAATGCCAGGGCTGGTTCCGTGCCTCAGCCAGACCCAGAGCAGCTCTCTGGGCAGCTTTACTGCTCTACAACTGCTGACAAATCGGAGAGACCAACCATAAACTTGGTGACAAAGAGGGTGTCTGATTCCCCGGCCTCAGGCACTCTGCCCTGTTCTGCCTCCCAGCCCAGGCAGGGCTGCGTGCCGGAGCGGCTGGCAGCCATGTCCCCGCCACCCCAGGTGCTGCGCTGGAGCGATGTGCTATCGTTTATCATCGCTCAAGGTTAGTGACCCTTGAATGCTCTGCCAGCAGACGGGTTAGTTGCCAGAACAAGCAAAAGCGTTTAGTGCAGGAGAGCGCACAGCGAGCTCAGCGCCAGCCAGCGACCAGGCGGCTCGTGAGGGGTGATGCTCAGCTTGCTGCCCTGCTGCCGCAGCTCTCCCTGGCTATGCCCTTCCCGGTGCTTGCAGGCCAGCGGTGGTGCTCACTAAGCCCTGCTCATCGGTGCCAGATGGAAACGGCTGACCCTGAGCTCGCCATTCCCAGAACTAAACGGAAACCCCACTCCTGGCTCTCGGCATGGGGACATCGTAGCATTCATCCAAGGAAGGTGGTCAGGCTCATCGCTGATCCCCCACCACACTGTAAGAGCTGCTGCGGACAGCTAGGGCTGTCCATAAATAAGGGCAAGGTCCCTCCAGCTGGTCCCTCAGGATCCTGGAGCAGGGATGGAGCACAGAAAGGTCCTTTCCCTTGTCATCTCCCCCTTGGTAAGCAGAAACATGGCTCCGTGCTACAGCACGTGAACTGTATGAGTGCGAACCTTGCTGTCTCTGAGCCAAACTCGTCGCAAATAAGCGTGTTAAGAGAGCAGGACTGATGCTCCTCCTTGTCCCAGTCACCCAGGGTTACTGCCCTCAGTGGATTTAGCAAAAAGCCGATTTTTTTTTCAAAGCACAGGTGCCTCTTCCCAAACTGATCAGTGCCAGGAGATGGGCAGGGAGGGGGCTGCGGTACTGCCAGGGCATGCAGGTGACAGCAGGGTTCCAGGCACCACCATGGAGGAGCAATATCTGTCCTGGGTGTAGTGGCTCAGTTTTGTGCCAGGAGCTGGTGGTGCCAGTGCCCAACCTGAGGGACCTGTGTTGGCATTGCTGCCGCGGTGCCGGGAGCCTGGTGAGCTGGGACAGCCCACGGCACTGCTGGGCACTGGGGCAGAGCGATGCCATCTCGCCCATTGGTACCGCACTCCGTTGGGACTGATACTTGATTGGTATCGCGCAATCCTGTTTCCTGGGATTTTGGAGACAGCTCTGTGGGAGGTGGAGGTTCTCTTTGCCTCCCCAGGCAAGTCTGAGAAGCCACCCGCGTGGAGGGATTTCCGAAGGCCAGAAGCATTACTTCTGACTGAGCCTCCAGAAATCCTCCTTAAACCAGGGTGGGATATAGGCACTTGTTCCCGGTTGAGCTGTCAACGCTCTTCTCCGAGAGCACCGAAAGCTTTAAATAGCACCAAACTTCATTCTGCAAATACCAGCGTCGCTCCAGCCAACGGAGAGCATTGTAGCTGCGGAGGGAGGGAAGGGAGCGGACCCCATCCCGAACCGCACTTTTCTTATCGTCGCTGTCCTCTGTTTTAGTCTTTCCCATTCCCCCCCGCCCTTGGCCAGCTCGCAGGAAAGCGGGCGAGCGGCTAATGGCTGAAGGTGCCGCCGAGCCCCGGTTGCGGGAGCGCTTGGCTCCCGGCCGCCCCCACGCAGGTGCCGCGGCGACGGCGGGGGGGGGAACTCTGCCGGTCAGCGCTCCCCGCGGGCCAAAAACCCCGGGCACCGGCGGGAGGAGATCGTCCTGCGGTCTTACCTTCGGCCATGGTGACCGGTACCGGGGTGTCGCGGTCGCGGTCGCGGTCCTGGTCCTGGTCCTGGTCGAGCTGCCCCTCAACTCCCGCCGCCCGGCCCCGCTGCTCCCTCCATTTATACCGCGCCCGCCGCCGCCGCGCACACCCCCGCGGTCGGGGATGGCGGAGGGAAAGAAAGGGAAAACAAAGTTTCCAGGAAACGGAGTGGTTTTGGTCCCACCTATTTAAAACAGCCACCCAAAAAAAAAAAAAGTTGGGGGGGGTCCAGCTCCCACCCAGAAGTACCGGGGCCGGTCCCTGCCCGCGGTGTGCAGCCCCCTCCCCGCCGGCCCCCGGAGCCTCCCCCGGGCAGCGGCTGGAAACGCTGCTGGGTAGGAGGAGGGGAAAAAAGAAAGGGAAAAAAAAAGTGGGGGGAGGAGAGGGGCTGTGCAGTTCACACCGAGGTGCCAGAAACTTGGGGAATGTTTTCTCCTTATAAAGTTTTCTTCCCCCCCTCCCTTATCTCCCTACCCGGCCATTTCTGGCGAGGGATCCGGCTGCTCGGGATTGCAGCAGCCAGTCCCCCTTCCTGTAAATGCATCCCTAAGAGACATAGTGGCCAGAGGGAAAATGTGCTGGAAACTTTGCTGTTTGAGGGGAAAATGTGCTGGAAACCTCGCTGTTTGCTGCGGGGCACGGCGCCATGGGGAGGTATGCATGGAGCAGTGTGCACGGAGCAGGGGCCAGCACTTTCCCTGGCAGCCCTTGCCCCGTGCACCGGCTGTCCCTCTCCTGCCTGAGGGTCTCAGGTCCCATGAGACTGCCAGCAGGGCTGCCTGCCCTGTCCTGTCCCTCCCTGTGTACCCCAAGGGTGACCCAACACACCAGAGACCGCCTAGCAGGGGCAGAGGGCAGAGACCCCCACACCTTCATGGGATCATGGGGTTTGGGAGTGCCCTCGGTACCTCAGCAGCGGTATGGCTTGTGATGAATAAGGCCTTGAGAAGTTTCACCTCTGGAGCAGACTTTGTTTAGCTCTTGGTTTTTCTTTGTGTGATTTAAGCTGACCAGGGCCAGGACCGAGGATGGGTTTTTTTCCTGGTGGAGCCCCATACCAGCCTTCTTTGTCTGGCCCCTGGCTGGCTGCGGGATGCTGCAGGCCCTGCGCCAGAGGTGGCTGCATGCTGGAAACCCTCCTCAGCCCGACAGGTCCCCTCCTGCTCCCCTGGACCCCTCACCCTGTTCCTCTCCCAGACCCCAGGAGGGCTGGTGTGTCTCTCCAGGGCTGCTGCGAGTACCAGGGACCTTCTTGTGGACAGCAATGTCCCGAACGCGGTTGGGGTTCATCACGTGGTGTATTCGGGGTCGCAACACAGGGTCCACGCATGGGCTGTGTGCTGGTAAAGCCTGTCTGTCCTGGGGTCTCCCCATGTCCTCATCATGCAGCTGGATCTGCTCTCCTGGCGCTCGGTCCCTGGCCGCGGGCGATGCTTTCTGCTCGGGCACGCAGCAGCACTGCGCTGGGAAGGTTTGCAGCAAGATGTGCCACCTCTTCCAGCTCCACCAAGGGCTTTTGGGCACAGATAGTGCCACTGTAAGGTCTGAGCATGCCAAGAGCGCATACCCAGGAAAAACCCCGCGAGATGGGGACTCCTGGTGTGGCTGGACCCCGGCCCTGCTGTGGGGGCACACACAGCAGCACTGCCCTGCGTGACAGCGGGCAGAAGGGCCTCGGAAAGGCAGCATCCCCGGTGAAGGAGCTGAGCCGCCGTGGCCGGGGGAGTCCCCTCCTTCATCACCATCTGTGATGTTAAAGCCAGTTAGGCTTTAAAGGTTAAAGCCAGTGCAGCAAATCCTTGCTGAGGGAATGCTCGGGGCAGCTGGTTTTAATGAATGCCATCCGTGCTCCGCTCCACCACGTGCACGCACAGGTTGGATGTGTGCAGGTGGCGGTGGGGAGAGCCTTCACCAGACCACCGCCGGTGTCGGCATTGCCCTTCTCACCCCCGCAGCCGCCAACATGGAGCAACCTCATCATGGGACACACCGCGCAGGTCGAGCCTGCGAGCGCTGCACCGACAGCGCATCCCTGCCATTAGTGCCGCGGGGTTCTGCTCTCCTGGCTCGGACTCGGGAGCGTTGTCCCAAATCTGGGCTCTTTACCCGCTGTGCAAAAACCAATTGGCACACGGAGGCGGGGTATTTGTTTCCTTCCAGTTCTGCGCAGAAAAGGGGCGCCAGGTGATAATTTGCAAAGCCAGCACACCTCTTAGAAACACATCGGGGCTTTTATACAAAAAGGTAGCAAAGGAAAAATCACATCAACGTAGCTGATCCGTCACTTGTAATTATATAACAAAAGCTCATTTGCACACGTCCCAATTTCTTCCTGGCTCATTATACTAAGGTGGTCGTACGTATAAAATCTCCTCCTAGAGGTGTGATCTTTAGTCTTAAAAATATCTAAGGTAACTAGAGGCTATACCTTCACCTATCGGTGACCTCTACCTTACTGTTTAACTTTCTCTTGTTCGGGCTCCGCTTGGAACAATGACTAACTTCAAGATTTGATTATTCATGTTTCTGGGCTTTTTGTTTTAGGGATTTCTATTCCCATTGCTATGGTTTCAGAGTAGGCCATCACATCATGGTTGCTCAATTTTATGGATTTTTAACTCTTTTTCTATGTCAAATCCCTCCCTTTGAGACTTACGGATATGTTTTACATCTCCTGTAAGTCTCACCTTATGCTTTTCCCAAGATCTGGGATTCCTGTTCTTCTATTTTCAGTGTAAAAGGGTTATCTTCTACTTCAGTCATCTTTATTTGTAGGGGGTTTCTATCTTTCAGTACCTGTTTGCAAAGACTTTAACACACGGGCAAACATTGAATCAAACAACTCAATAACAAGATGATCAGTATAAGCACAGATATTAAGAAGAGTTGCTTTAGTCAATTTAGATTTGGTAACCAGGATGTTAGCTTGGTAAGATCTAATCTTTCCTGTTCCTTGCCATTTGAGGCCAGATCCATTAATTTCTGTATCTTCTCTTCTACTAATTGAGAATTGTCTGTTAGATTGAAGCAGCACATCCCCTTAAACTCCTCACACCCATGATTATGCCTCAAAAGCAGAGAGTCGATGGCAGCTCTGTTTTTCTAAAGTAGCTTCCCTTATTTGAGTCACCTCTTCACCCAAAGCTGCCGGAGCTTGAGAGGTATAATTTATGTTCTTCACCAATGCACATATATACAATTCTTTTTATTGTGTAATAATTCATGGCTCCTCCTACTCCTGGCACTAAAATAGCTGCAGCTGTCATTTCGCTCGGGCTCCAGAGGGTTACTTGTGAATTGGCCGGCGTGCCTGTGAGCGGTGGCAGCAACAGATTTACTAGTCCAGGAAGCCGGGATCAAATAGTGCGATGATGCCCTGTGTGCTGTGCAAATAACCCCAACATCCAACTGAAGCCACCGCCAGGAGAAACAAAGATAGGAATGAAGCCTGGAGAATACTGGCAAATAATCTCAGAATTACCCAGAGGAGAATTCCATCGATATCTGTTCTGATGATGGATACTCCCACCGGATGGCCAGAGGCTACGTTGATGTGTTTTTCCTTCGTTACCTTTTTGTATAACCGTGTTTCCAAGAGGTGTGCTGGCTTTGCGGATTATCGCTCGCCTGGCATCCTTTGCTGCGCAGAACTGGAATAAAACAAATACTTCAACTCAGTGTGTCAATCGGTTTTTACAGAGAGGGTAAAGAGCCCAGATTTGGGACAACGGGAGGGGCCTCTTTCAGAGAGGTCAGGAAGAGAAGTCACTCTCTTCCTCCTCCTGGACCCCTCGGTGCCGACAGTGTGGGCAGAGCTGGGTTGAGCCATTCCCATGGATGCAGTGGTGGGATCACTGGGGATGGGGGTGTAGGGGGCTGCCCGGCTCTCCAGGCATCGGGGATGCGGGGATCCCTCTCCCCTGCCAAGCCGCTGCGGGGCTGGGGCCGAGGGAGGGGCAGGGGCTCCCCTGCACCGGGAGCTGTTTTCGCCTGCCCCGAGCTGGCCCCGCTCCCAGCGCTGCTTCCTGGGCACAGGAGCCATCGGTGGTGACATGTGCCAGGGTGTTTGGGCTCACGTTGGAGGGTGCGGGGTTCGGGTCTGCCTGCACAAGCCCGCTCTTCGTCCCTTACCCTACGTGAACTCTGGATGCACTCAGCAGCCTGAGGTCCCGCGCTCGGGATGTGTTTAATTTGCTCTGGGTAACGTGTGACAAACAGCCCGTAATGGCACTGTCTGTCCCAGAGCAATCGGAAACAGACTTTTCTCGCTCGGCGCAGAAGCAGGAGCGGTTTGTCGCCGTGAGGGGTGTCGGTGGGTCTGGGGTGCGCAGGGCCAGGCGAGCCGCGGCGCCCGGCGGTGGTCAGGCTGCAGGGACTCATTTCTGTCTGGTTTTCTGGCCAAACACAGAGTGGGAACGACTGATGGCATCTGTCCCCGCTCTGGCACCTCTGTCAGAAGTGGCAGGAGCTGAGTGCCGGGCTGTCCCCCGGGTCAGAGCCCCAGGCTTGATCGCAGCATCTCAGCGAGAGGAAACCTCCCTTGTTTCTGGCTTTAGTGCCCACTTTGTTCACCACCACCTATCGCAGAGGCATCTGTCTGCCCAGGCACTGGAAAACGCCGCACATGGAATGCCAACCACACCGATGGCGTTATTTTTATTCTCCTTAGTAAGACAAAGTTGCATTAAGAGGGTGTTTGCACTGCTGGATGCCCAAAATAACTCCTCATTTGCTCAAGGTGTTCAGCGGAGGACTGCGACTTCCCTTGCACCCACCCCGCTCCTGGAGTTGCTTCAAAGCGTGCTGGTTTCTTGCCTCCCCCGGTCGTGCGCAGGCAGAGTCTCTGTTTGCTTTCCTGGGTGTGTGCCGGGACCGCTGGCAGCCCCCGGCTGTCCCCGCACGTCCTGACTCAGTCTCTTGTGCAGGCAGATAAACAAGCTGTGAAAAGGGACAGTGTCTTCCTCTGAGTCGCCCTG